CCCACCCCCTTGTGTTGTTTTTCTTCTATATGTATGTGTGTGTTTGACTGTGTGCCTGGGTGGGTGGTTGGAGGGCGCCAGTGGTAGATCCTACTTCTTTACTTTCCTCTCTGTTGTTTCTGTCCGTCTGTCTTACTTTTCCCCAGCACTAAATGACCATTATTATGTCGACATGCTTTTCTTTATTCAAACAAAAAAAATATGTGCCTACAGAAATGTCCCAGTTGTCAGCAAAGTTGTTTTTGAGAAACGGTGTGAAAAAGCCTAACATAGTCGTACCTGATCAAAAATTTAGTTCCATCACAAAACACATGTATGACCATTTTTTAAAAACGTATTGAAAGGATTTTGTAATTTTGTAAGTCTTAAGTTTAAGTATTTTTTTATAATTATTTTGCAACAAAGGTAATAAGCTAGAAATTGTGTTTTTCTCCAAACTTTGTTATTACACCTTGTGTTGCAAAACCTAGTATATCTTAAAGATTACTCAAGATATTTGAAGTCAGTGTGTTCACCATTTAATTTTCTGCAAGAATATATGCCCTTATTTCAATATTCAAAATTTCCGACAACTGGTACCTTTCTTCTGGCAGACATACATGTATATATTATAATGACATTGTTCAAGAGGACCACCTTTCTAAAGTGATCATTCTTTTGCTCGACAGTGGGTGGTCGTTTTGTAAAAAGTCCGATTGCAGTTTGTTGTGTGTTGTGGTGTACTCACTGTCTCTCTAGGGCTTCCTCTGTCATTTTGACAGCTCTGGTTGTATCTCTGTCGAGAACTATACAATTCTTTCTTCATGACATAATGTATTCTGTGTTGAAATGCGGTGAGTGCGGCTCCTCCAAGGGGGGTAAACCCACTATGCTGGGGTCCTTTTTTGGTACTAAATCTAATAATGACAAAAACATTATTGAATCGGTCCTTCATTAAATCGTAACAAGTGAACCTATTTTGATAGTTCTTCATCTAACGAATGCAATGCCCTTAAAAGATACCTGTTTTCGGCAATTGACGAAAGGTAATTTGATATCGAAGTCGCCAAGGAATGTGCACAAGCCATTGTAAGCAGCTCACCGGCACAGTGATTCCGACCACGAGCTGCTGGGAGCGGTTTGCCTGAGTTAAAGAGTTAAATCTCTTGGGGGGGGGGGGGAGGAGAGGGAGAAGGAGAGAGGAAGGGATGGGGGGGGGGGATGAGAGAAGGTAGGGGAGGAATACTTGATGAGGGACTGAAGTTATTCGGTGAGTTGTCACGGCTCTCCATCTGCTCACCTTTGTCGTTTCGGAGCTGTATGCTGATGAAGCAGGTGCGTCACATTCTAGGTGACCTCGCTATGATGAAGCGGCCTTTTCCATACCATCTTTCTAGGCATATTTTTATGATTGTCGATTAGCCAGTTACATGGAATTACAGAGGAAGTAGGTGACAACCACTCTTCTATGACAAAATAAAAAGCTTTATTGTTGGGTTGGAGTGGGGGGAGTGGGAGTGGTTGGTGAATACTACTGTTTCTATTTAGTCTTGGTAATAGTGTCTTCTCATTCCATCTCATCATGCAATTTGTGCTGACTCTTTGAAAGTCGCGACTGACTGAAGGTGACGGCAATATGGCTGTGCTGTTTGATGAGTGGGATTTTAGGAGCTCCCTGAACGTCGGTAATCTATTTATAGAGGTACCAGCCACACATGTTGAGTTGCTGATTTAGCCGTTGCAGGTCTCTGTTGCACTGGCATCCTTTCATATCTATAGTTATCCCCACTTTATCATACTCATACAGCGGGTGAATTTATGGGCAAGTAATTAGTGAAGATGTCCCCTGAGTTGTCTCCCTTCTTTTCTGACCTGAATTGTTCGTCTTTCCTTTATGTTTGTGCGCAGCTCTGTATTGGTGTAGACATGTACAATAATATTTATCGTGACATGAGTGCAGGGAAGGTTTTGGGTTGGGGTATGTTTCTGTTTTTAACTCATTTACATGCTGTGACTTTTTTGTATCTTTTTTTTACTGATGGGAATGTGTGTTTGTGTGTGTACATTTGTGCTGACGGGATGTTTTGGTTTTGAAAACACCCAAATGTTTTCTGTTTGACTTGTCTACATGCTTTGATTTTTTTATTTTTGTTTTTTCTAATTTATGGGAACGACTGACACATTCCAAGCTTATTGTTATGCTGTGTTGTTGAGCTTAGCCAATACTAGTGACAACTGTTTTGTTTTATTTAGTGCTAGTTTTTGCTTGTTTTTCGGAACTATTCCTGAACCAAGATTTTTGGTAATGGCTTAGCCTTTGTTTCAGCTATTTACAAGTTTGAGGCAAGCTTTTGGGGTTATAATGAGACATAATGCACTAGGTTTAAGTGACTAGAAAAAGGTTGCGGGAAACGGTAGAAAAAACTCAGGGCTTAAAGCGTTAAATAAGTGTTGAGGAAAAAGGGAAAAGCCTGAAGTTTAGAACCCTTTTTCAAACTGAAATCGGGAGGACAAATTGTCCTGTCGCTTTTCGCCTTACAAGGTTTCCCTGCATCACCCTTCATTTGCGAGTGGTTGGTGTGTGCTCTGTGTGCTTTGCTCCTTCTTTCCTATCATACATTTGTCGTCCTTATCTCCCCTTCCTTCTTTTTTTGTGTTTGTTACTCTCTTGTAACACCTCTAATCTTTGGCACTTATATGACCTTATTGTGTTGCAAGTGCCATAAAACTCTTACTCTTTGTCATCACACGCAGAAGACACGAGTTGGATTTCCAAGTGGGGAGAATTTTTATCGAGTATCTCGGTATTGGCTTGATTGGCTCTGACAGGCAGGGTCAAATGAGTCTGCCTCCTAAATGGGTTAAAAGTTCTACCGTCACAGATTATAAATGATATACAGTAGAATCCCGTTATAACGAGAGGGAGGGGAACAGTGCCAAACGTCCGTTATACTGTCCTCAGAGAAATTCGCACCCGCAACTTTTGCCCTCAGCGCAACTTTTGCCATTTTCGTGAATTCGCAAATTTTAGCCAATTTCCCGCAAAATTTGGGGAAATAATAATAACATTTCTTTAAAAATACCGAAATTTTCTTCCACGACTAAAGATAACGACGCCAAGGGGGACAATTCGCTCCTTTGCACTACAGGGTGCCTGCCCGTTGCCGGGTCAGGTCAGGTCGGGAATAGTCGGGATGATCAATGATCGCCCGACTTGTCGCCTGAAAACCACATGTTTGTTTTGAAACAACGAGTTGGGCGCGATCGATTTGTGCCACGATAGCCGCTTTGCACCATCAATCTGGCTAGCAAACCGACCCAATAGTCTTGTTTGGACTGAATCGTCTTCTAGTCTAGCTAGATCTAGATTTTGAGTAAATCAATCGTAAACACGGTCGTCTGATTACTTATCTTGCTTGCTTGGTTCCGTTGCACCAGGTAGATAGATCTAGTATAAAATTTTTTCACTTAGAGTAAGTTCGAGTGGTAAGCACAGCATTGTGGCGATACAGTGGACCTCGAGCGGCAAGCAAGATATATAAAATATGTCAACTCGCACTTAAAACCATGCTGGTCACACCTGCCCAACGTCGAGAGTTTTAGGACCTGGCGCATGTCATGTGTCAGGGGACAAACTGTTTTTGTACACCATGCAACCCCCATGCAGTTGTTTTTTGTGTGTTTTTTTGGGGGTAGACATTCGCATATTTATCTTCTGATTTTGATTTAACATAACTCATATTGGTTACTTTAGATAAGATTGCAATGAGCATTGCAACAATGTATTCCAATAATTCCGTGGCATTGTTTTAGCTATACATGTCTTGCAACTTTTCTTGAAACTTGTACTATTTTTTCTTGCAACTTTTTTCAACTTTTGCTATTTTCAAATGCAACTTTCTCTGAGGACAGGTTATAGCAGGATTCTCGTTATACGGGATCCAGTAATAAATTAAAGGGAAATAGTAAAGAAGGCCTAATCTATGAGTTTAGTTTTTGGTTTATTTCTTTTTCTAATCTCCCCTGATGATGATTTGGTTCAACATGACCTTTATTAAGTCTTTCTTGATCAAAAGTTGAATCAGGTTTCTTTCTCTAGCCCTAGCGATGTTGACAACTAGGCATAGGCAATCAGAAAGAAAGTTCTCTAGGCTAAGTCGCCCCCTGTGTTGTCCCCCACCCCACCAAACCCTGTGGTGCGTTCTGTCTGCTTGTGCACAATGGGAACATACCACACCCCGCCCACGTCACACATTCACTCCGTCCATCACAGTGCAGCACTATGACATCTCCATCCATGCATCGGAGAAG